CACAGAGCCACTGCAATACGGAGGGTCTTAGGGTCGAGTCGCGTTCCCATTGCTGATATGGGAACTGTTTGGAGGAAGTCCCGGGAGTGAGGTGCGCTCACAGCCTGGAGGAGGGCAGTCGCCCTATCTGATGTTGCAGCCCTGAGCACCTTTTCAGAGATCGGGCCATCCCAGCTTGACTGTTTGTGAGCCAGTGCTTCACTAGGGTTTGGTGCTGGAGCAGCAAGAGTCTCCCATTCAGTAATGGCACTGGCATAGCTAGAGTCCTGTATTCCATCTGAGTCACTGAGGTTATCATGAAGAATTTGTCTTATCAACTCGTTTGATGCTATGGAAGAGGATAGGAAAGCTGGTAGAGCAATCTGGGAGGATCTGCATACTCGTAGCCCCCCATGCCTGTCCGGAAGAGAGGCTTGCAACCACTGCCCATCTTCAAGGGAAAAATTCAATACACTCTCTAGCATGGTCTTAAGGAGAGAGTCATATTCCTTGAGTTTTCGACTGCTGAAGTCTGGGAGCATCTCAGAAAGTAGGTAAGTTTTGTGATTGACAAGCACCTGGTGAGTAGGTAGAAGGCATCATGTGTGTCAGTGTCTTTCATCCTACTTTCCATTGTCCGGAGATCTGAGACTTTTTTTGTCTAGGATCAGATCGATGGCACTGAATCCAAAAGGAGCACCGAGGAGAGTGCTATTGGCTGGATCAATGGCTCGTGCTCCTGGTAAAACGGTACTAATATTCTGGATCATCTGTTGATTGGTAGAAACTATTTCACATTTGGTGGGGTTTAAAGAAAGGCCCAGGCTTTCTCCCATGTCTTTAATTTTACTGATGTCCTCTAGGAGAGATTCTGTTGTGCCAGCTAGTGTACCGTCGTCCAGGAACCAGATATTGAACTCGCTGGAGAGTGCTTCTGTTACTTCCTTGATGACCAAACAGAATAGAAAGGGGGCGAGAGGGTCCCCCTGTTGCACGCCATCATATGAGTCAGTTTCATTTTACACAAACAATAGTTTGGAAGTCACACTATAACACGATTCTATGAAGGGATAATGGGAAGTGAAGTTTCTATGAACTGCTTGGAGAGCAGCATCCCTTCTGACTGAGTTGAAAGCATTGGCGAAGTCCAATTTGACAAAGGCCTTTTTGTCGGACATGTTGTTGATATATACTCATGCTGCGTGGGCAGCTGCTTCACAGCCATGTTGAACGCCAAAACCGAGCCGAGTTGGTTTCATCATTGCAGCAGCCTCTTGATTCACCCTTGTTACTGCATATATATATATATATATATATATATATATATATATATATATATATATATATATATATATATATATATATATACATATTTTTTTTTTATTATCACACTGGCCGATTCCCACCAAGGCAGGGTGGTCCGAAAAAGAAAAACTTTCACCATCATTCACTCCATCACTGTCTTGCCAGAAGGGTGCTTTACACTACAGTCTTTAAACTGCAACATTAACACCCCTCCTTCAGAGTGCAGGCACTGTACTTCCCATCTCCAGGACTCAAGTCCGGCCTGCCGGTTTCCCTGAACCCCTTCATAAATGTTACTTTGCTCACACTCCAACAGCACGTCAAGTATTAAAAACCATTTGTCTCCATTCACTCCTATCAAACACGCTCACGCATGCCTGCTGGAAGTCCAAGCCCCTCGCACACAAAACCTCCTTTACCCCCTCCCTCCAACCTTTCCTAGGCCGACCCCTACCCCGCTTTCCTTCCACTACAGACTGATACACTCTTGAAATTATTCTGTTTCGCTCCATTCTCTCCACATGTCCGAACCACCTCAACAACCCTTCCTCAGCCCTCAGGACAACAGTTTTGGTAATCCCGCACCTCCTCCTAACTTCTAAACTGCGAATTCTCTGCATTATATTCACACCACACATTGCTCTCAGACATGACATCTCCACTGCCTCCAGCCTTCTCCTCGCTGCAACATTCATCACCCATGCTTCACACCCATATAAGAGTGTTGGTAAAACTATACTCTCATACATTCCCCTCTTTGCCTCCAAGGACAAAGTTCTTTGTCTCCACAGACTCCTAAGTGAACCACTCACCCTTTTCCCCTCATCAATTCTATAATTCACCTCATCTTTCATAGACCCATCCGCTGACATGTCCACTCCCAAATATCTGAATACATTCACCTCCTCCATACTCTCTCCCTCCAATCTGATATCCAATCTTTCATCACCTAATCTTTTTGTTATCCTCATAACCTTACTCTTTCCTGTATTCACTTTCAATTTTCTTCTTTTGCACACCCTACCAAATTCATCCACCAATCTCTGCAACTTCTCTTCAGAATCTCCCAAGAGCGCAGTGTCATCAGCAAAGAGCAACTGTGACAACTCCCACTTTATGTGTGATTCTTTATCTTTTAACTCCACACCTCTTGCCAAGACCCTCTCATTTACTTCTCTTACAACCCCATCTATAAATATATTAAACAACCACGGTGACATAACACATCCTTGTCTAAGGCCTACTTTTACTGGGAAATAATTTCCCTCTTTCCTACATATTCTAACTTGAGCCTCACTATCCTCATAAAAACTCTTCACTGCTTTCAGTAACCTACCTCCTATATATATATATATATATATATATATATATATATATATATATATATATATATATATATATATATATATATATATATATATACAGGAGGGCCCCACTTATACGGTGGGTTAGGTTCCAGGCTACCGCCGTAAAGCGGAAACCGCCGTAAAGTGGAACACCCTTTTTTTCCACTTACAAATGCATACAAACACTAGATAACAAGTTTACACTAACATATATTATGTTAGCAATAGAACCAGGCATCAAAAAAACAATAAAAAAGTACAATACACACATAGTGCACTCATTACTTACCTTAAAATATTTATAGTCTTAATCTAGGGTGAGACAAGTAGTATTTATTGTAAGAAATCAAGTGTGGTATGTATGGTAATCAGCCAGGCTACCATACCAGGCCACTCCACCCACACATACTATTCTATGATATTTAAGCATCCCAGAGCGATAAAATGTATATACAGTTCACTCATTACTTACCTTAAAATATTTGTAGTAGGGTCAGGAGTAAGTAAATGAGATAAAACGAATAAATGTGAGAGAGAAAGAATGAGTGCATGAGAGAGGACAGGCGCAGAGTTATGTAAACAAACCAGGTGAAGGTAAGTTTTGTAAACAGTGTACACGTCTGGTTTGTGTACAAGTTACATTGTGTACAGGTTGTCTCTACATTGATATGGTAAAATTAATAAAGAAGAACACTCCCATTCTCATGTAACATCATTTTGAGAAGAAATGATGCTCTGAGTGAAGGCAATGGAAATAAGTCACTCTGACTTTTTTCGGTTATCTTAGGTTCTCTACACATATGTTGTTATGTATGATAATCTATGTAACTGTATTTGTGTATACCTGAATAAACTTACTAACATACATACAAAAGGAATAATTTTCTACAGTTACCCCCAGTAACACATTTTCTCTTATGTTAGATTAGAGAAAATGTTATTCTTGGCATCACTTGTACAAGTTATCTGGATACCACATCTCATATTTATGTTTATTTATTCTATTGTTGGGTGTATTTATCATCTTTTTATGTTATGTATCGTGTTTATTATATAATTTTGAAAAAAATATGATGGATGGATTAATGAAAATGTGTATATTAACGTAATATACAACATTTAATGAGACTCGGTGAGTATTGTTATTATTATTATCATTTCTAATATGGCGTCACTTGTGCAAGTCGTCTGCTACCACATCTCAAATTTATGTTTATTTATTCTACTGTGGGGTGTATTTATTTTATTTATATGTGATGCATCGTGTTTATTATATAATTTTGAAAAAAATATCATAGATGGATTAATGAAAATGTGTATATTAACGTAATATACGACATTTAAATGACTCGATGATTATTATCATCATTACTAATATGACGTCTGGAGACATAAGACACTTACCGATTTTAATGTGTACCTGCATGCCAGCACAGTATGTAAGTTTATTTAGGTACAGGTATACATACGTATAATTATCAGAGTATATATAAAATATGAAATAACTTTTAAAAACATTTGAAATTTTGAGTTTCCAGACAAAATGGAGAGACTTAGTGCTTACTGAGCTCATGGAGAATGTAAACAAACAGGGTGGGGCACGGTGACCGTATTAGAAAGTCAGGTGGGGGGAGCCGTATAGCGAGTTTTGGTCATAATTTGAAATGACCGTATTAGCGGAAAGCCGTAAAGTGAAACGCCGTAAAGCGGGGCCCTCCTGTATATTATATATATATATATATATATATATATATATATATATATATATATATATATATATATATATATATATATATATATATATATTTGTTAGGTTGAGAATGTATTTGGCAAAATTAATGCAAACACACAAATTTTCTCTTGCCTTATCAAGAATAGTGCCAGCTATGACTGCTTCACCTCACCTTTCTACACTATATTCATATTCAAATTCCAATTTCTGTTTCTTTTCATAGTTCACAATGTGTGACTGAAATATTATTAGGAGTCTATTTCCAAGCATAGTTTACAATGTGTGACTGACATGTTATAAGGAGTCTATTTCCATGCATAGTTTACAATGCGTGACTGACATGTTATAAGGAGTCTGCCCGAAATGCTGAGGCATTTCGGGCAGACTCAAGCTACTTCCTTGTACATATGCTGTATTCTTTTCAAGACTTATGGACTGATTACATCGACAAAAGGATGAGGGACTGATTACCTCAAACTCCTCCTCTTTTTCTTCACCATTCTCCTTTGTATGGACTGATGAAGCCACTGTGTGGCAAAGCATTTCCTCAGTAAACATACCAAATTGTTGCACATATGTCTAATTTTTCCATAACATGTATAGTCTATGTCAGATTTTTCTCTCCTGCACATTTTCAGAACTATGCCATTTTGGATTATGAAGGGCCAAGTATTGCAGCAGAAGAAATTGCAAATATGGTTGCAGAGAAGGAGAGGCAGAAGGTGCGAGTTCTGGATGTGGCGGCAGGTACTGGCTTGGTGGGTTGCCACCTTCATAAGAAAGGATTCACGTAAGTATTATAAAAAAAACATTCTTTTCTCGGATTAAGTAAACTTTAATTCAAGTACTCACCTAGTTGTACTCACCTATTTGTAGTTGCAGGGGTCGAGACTCAGCTCCTGGCCCCGCCTCTTCACTGAACGCTACTAGGTCCTCTCTCTCCCTGCTTCATGAGCTTTATTATACCTCGTCTTAAAGATATGTATGGTTCCTGCCTCCACTACATTGCTTGCCAGACTGTTCCACTTCCTGACCAATCTATGACTGAAAAAATACTTCCTAACATCCCTGTGACTCATATGAGTCTTCAACTTCCAAGAGTGACCCCTTGTTTTTGTGTCCATTCTCTGGAACATCTTGTCCCTGTCCACCTTGCCTATTCCAAGCAGCATTTTGTATGTTGTTATCATGTCTCCCCTATCCCTCCTGTCCTCCAGTGTCGTCATGCCGATTTTCCTCAACGTTTCTTCGTAGGACATTCCCCTTAGCTCTGGAACTAACCTTTTCGCAAATCTTTGCACCTTCTCTAATTTCTTAACATATTTGACCCGGTGCAGGTTCCAAACTGATGCTGCATACTCAAGTATGGGCCTGACGTATACGGTGTACAGTGTCTTGAAAGATTCCTTACATAGGTATCAGAATGCTAATCTCACGTTTGCCAGGCGCCCATATGCTGCAGCACATATCAGGTTGATGTGTGCTTCCAGAGACGTACTCGGTGTTATACTCACGCCAAGATCTTTCTCCTTGAGCGAGGTTTGCAGTCGTTGGCCACCTAGCATATACTCTGTCTGTGGTCTTCTTTGCCCATCTCCGATCTTCCTGACTTTGCATTTGGTAGGATTGAATTCGAGAAGCCAGTTGCTGGACCACATGTCCAGCCTGTTCGGGTCTCTATGAAGGCCTGTCTGATCCTCATCTGATTCAATTCTCCTCATTAGCTTCACATCATCTGCAAACAGGGACACCTCTGAGTCTATGCATGCCATTATGTCATTCACATATACCAAAAATAGCACTGCTCCTAGAACCGACCCTTGTGGAACCCCGCTCGTCACAGGTGCCCACTGTGATACCTAATCACATACCATGACTCGTTGTTGCCTCCCTGTTTTGTATTCTCTGAACCATTAAAGTGCCCTTCCGGTTACACGTACCTGATCTTCTAGTTTTTGCACTAATCTCTTGTGAGGAACTCTGTCGAAGGCCTTCTTGCAGTCCAAGAAGATGCAATCAACCCACCCCTCTCTCTCGTTTCTTACTTCTGTTACTTTATCATAAAACTCCAGAAGGTTTGTGACACAGGATTTGCCTTCCATGAACCCGTGCTGGTTGTCATTTATACTTATGTTTTGTTCCAGGTGCTCCACCACTCTCCTCCTGATAATCTTCTCCATGGTCTGTAGTTTAGTGCCTCTTTTCTGTCTCCTTTTCTAAAAGTGGGAACTACATTTGCTGTCTTCTATACCTCAGGTAGTTGCCAAGTTTCAAATGATGTGTTGAAGATTGTGGTTAATGACACACAACATTTTTGCTCCCTCTCTAAGGACCCAAGGGGAGATGTTGTCTGGTCCCATTGCCTCTGAAGTATCAAGGTCACTTAGCAGCTTCTTTACCTCCTCCTCCAGCACTTGTTAGTGTATTCCCTGTTGGTGTCCCCCTTTGTCCTGTCTTCCCAGAGTCCTTCCTGTCTCCACTGTGAATACTTCTTTAAATCTCTTGTTGAGCTCCTCACATACCTCTTGATCGTTTCTTTTGAGTTCCCCACCTTCTTTCCTCAGCCTGATCACCTGGTCTTTGACTGTTGTCTTCCTCCTAATTTGGCTATACAGCAGTTTCAGGTCAGACTTGACTTTCGATGCTATGTCGTTTTCATTCTGTCGGTGGGCCTCCCTCCTTATATGAGCATACTTGTTTCTGGCCCTTCTACTGATCTCCTTATTTTCCTGGGTTCTTTGCCTTCTGTACCTCTTCCATTCTCTAATGCACTTAGTTTTTGCCTCCCTATACCTTCGGGTAAACGACGGACTCACTTTGGTTTTCCCATTAATACTGTTGCCCAGGGGAACAAACCTTTCCTCTGCCTCCTTGCATTTTGTTGTTTCATATTCCATCATTTCGTTTACTGACTTTCCTACAAGTTCTCTGTCCGACTGAACTTCCCGCAGGAAGTTCCTCATACATGTGTAGTCTCCCCTTTTATAGTTTGGCTTTTCCCAATTGACTCCTGTTACCCTCTCCACTTGTAGCTCTACTGTGTAATCAAAATTCAGAACCACGTGATCGCTAGCTCCAAGGGGCCTCTCATAAGAGATGTTCTAAATGTCTGAACTGCTCAGGGTGAACATAAGGTCCAGTCTTACTGGTTCATCCTCCCCTCTCTCTCTGGTAGTGACCCAGACGTGTTCATGCATGAGGTTTTCCAGTACTACATCCATCATCTTGGCTCTCCATGTGTCAGGACCCCCGTGATGCTCCAGGCTTTCCCAGTTGATCTCCCTATGGTTGAAATCATCCATAACCAGTAACTTTGCTCTGCACGATTCAGCTCTTCGCGCCACCTCAGCCAGTGTGTCCACCATCCCTCTGTTGTTCTCTTCATATTCCTCTCTTGGTCGTCTGCAGTTCTGTGGTGAGTTTTATATCACTGCAATGACTGCCTTATGTTCCTCAGACTGAAATGTAGCTGCTATGTAGTCCCTTTCTCCAATTTCGCCTATGCCTTCCATTTCCTCAAAACCCCAATAGATGTTTATGAGCAGTGCAACCCCTCCTCCCCCTCTGCACCTTCTGTCTTTCCTCAGGATCTGATATCCAGGTGGGAAGATTGCATCTGTTATTGTTTCAGTGAGTTTCGTTTCTGTGACTGCTATGATGTCTGGGGACTTGTCATTGATTCTTTCATTCTTCTTCTCATATTTATTTGTTAATCCATCTGCGTTCATGGACCACACCTTCAGCTTCTTATCTATCAAGGTGTTCCAGGGAAAATATTGGGTTTGGGGAAGCGGGAGCGCTGGAGGGGGCCTATGGGGATTTGCGGTGTGGGTAGGGTTTTTGATGGGGGGAGAGTGCAGAGTGCCCATGGGGAGCACCTGTAGGGGTGGGGTTTGTGATATTGGGGGTGGGGGGAGAGGGAACAGTGTGTGGGTTTTGGATTAGATTGTTCAGTTGCATTGGGGGTTGTCACTGTGTGGTTGGGGTTTGTGATGGGTTTGTGATGGGGTTTATGTATGGATAATTTTGTCACGAAATTCTTGAGTGTATTATCTATTAAGGCATAAACATATAGGTTAGGAATCACTTGAAAATTCACTAAAAAAAAAAAATCTTGCAAACTAGACTTAAGCATTTAATTATGAATATTACAGAAAAAAATAAACTAAATATAGTTTGGTGGGTGAGTGATCCGAGAAGGTCATACCCAGTCTCCTGGGCCACAGTGTGCACCACAGTCTCCTGGGCCACAGTGTGCACCACAATCTCCTGGGTCACAGTGTGCACCACCATCTCCTGGGCCAGAGTGTGTACAACAGTCTCCTGGGCCACAGTGTGCACAACAGTCTCCTGGGCCACAGTGTGCACCAAGTCTCCTGGACCACAGTGTGCACCACTATCTCCTGGGCCAGAGTGTGTACAACAGTATCCTGGGCCACAGTGTGCACCACAGTCTCCTGGTCCACAGTGTGCACAACAGTCTCCTGGGCCACAGTGTGCACAACAGTCTCCTGGGCACAGTGTGCACAACAGTCTCCTGGGCCACAGTGTGCACCAGTCTCCTGGGCCACAGTGTTCACCACAGTCTCCTGGGCCACAGTGTGCACCTCTCAGTAGTAGTACAAGTTCCTAGTAACCAGTTACCAGTAACCAGTGTACCAGTAGATGACTCACTACTAACCATCTGTGTGAATCACAGACTGTTATTCACATTGCTGCTGACCATAGCATGTTTTCAAACACTGCTCACCCTGTAGGCACTGGGGGGTCAGTCTGAGATAGAGAGCAGAGAGAGGCAGGTCGGCTGATGGCGCTTTCCACACTTTCCGTTATATATTATATGTACTAACCAGCCTATGTGAGTATTTTTACCCTATCCACGTTATTGAACCCACATGACAAATTGGTGCCAGCGGTGTGGGCGTGGATTTAGGGGTATTTCAGACGTTAGAAGATTGTTTGTGGGGTGCCGGCAGGTCAGAGGTGAACCGTGTCACCTCCAGCTAGCCACTTACCCTCACTCACCTCCACCCTGTGTCGCTTCAGCCTGCAAACCAGTTGCAGCCGTTTTTTCAAGCTTCCTGACTTACTTCATGTGCTAATTGCTTCAATCTCCAAGGGGTTGACCCAGATTTTGCAATTAACCCAGCCAGTAAGCCAGACTGTGGAAGTGAGCGCTAGTCAGCCTGCCTCAGCCTATCATCCAACCTGTCTCCTGTCATTCACCTGCTCCTTCATGCTGTGTGCACCGTTACACGTCTTCCAGTCAGCCATTCTCGTGGGTTAAGCCAGTCAGCGAACCCAGCTTCTAACCCAGCTGAGATAGAGAAGTAAGCCACGCAAGTTCCTCTGCAGTATTGTCTCCTATATTGCTTGTGCCCCCAGATGGATGCTAGAGTGGTCTTCACCATCCATGTGGCATTTGTTGTTTAGTTAATTAAGCCACCTTCGTGAGTGGTGAGACTGTGCGCCAGTGAGCGCCAGCGAGTTGACGCTCCACCCACCCACCACCCACTCTTCACCTCATATACCTGTGGCTTTTTCCACCCTTGTACCGGGTCCTAGTACTGTTTTGGCTCACATAATTGGTCAAGAGATTGTGGCTGTGCGCCAACGATAAAGCCATTTATGAGAGTTCACCTAGAAAGCACATTTCTTTACGACAATAGTGTGAGTGTAGGAGGAATCATCACCCACACAGGGCAACCTTCCCCTCATCACTCGTCACTCCGTCTACCACTCCAGACTTCAGTGATAATTTTTTGTTTAGAGACATTTTCCTGCATTTAC